ATATATATTTGAGTCAGGGTCAGGGTCTCACTATGTAGCTCTGGTTGACCTGGCTCTATGTAGACCAGACTGGCCTCAAATTCAGAGAGTCACCTGCCTCTACCTCCTGAGTGCTGGGATTAAAGACATGTGCCACCACACCTGGCTTTGTTGAATATATTTTGAATTCTAAGTAGTTGTGAAAATTATGTATATCATAGAGCAATTGGATATGTGAATACTACTAACTTTAACTTGGAAAGCATTCTTCCATTTAACAGAAATATATTTATACATTTTAACAGCTGGAGGTACATAATCAAAATCTGTGAACTGAGTGAATTTTTATTGCTAATAATTTTACTCATGACTCAAATACAAATTATGAACATAATAGTGTTTTGTATATATCTTGTTTTATGGTCAATAATTCTTCAAACTATGTGAGTTTTATGTTATGGAATTAAATGCCAATAGCTCACCATTACACAGTTAATTATACTGGGCCTCAGTATGTCAGACTTGGTGGGTTAGAATGATACCTCAGGATGTACTTACCACAGCTGCCAATAGATGGATTACTGTGACTTGTCACCCCCAAACATTGTCTTTCCTATCTTGATCAAGCTGAATGTTAGATACAAGGCTGGTGGTGAGTTCAGAGTTGCACTCCAAATGCAGTGTGCACTCATCAGATATACTGAGTGTATTTTGTATATCAAGACTTCATGTTCTATAAACAGAGTAGACAACATATAGATGCTCAGTGATACATGAAAATGTCTACCTTAACAGGTAAATATTGGGAAGATGGATTCACCCATTGAAAAATGGAACTTAATAATTGGTAACTTGGCTTTAAAGCAGGTAAGTGATACTTTTATTTTTTTTAATTATTTATTGATTTATTTGTTCTTTTTGAGACAGGGTCTCCCTCTAGCTCCAGCTGACCTGGAACTCACTATATAGATTTCACTGAGATCTGCCTGCCTCGGCCTCCTGCATTCTGGGATTAAAGGCATTTGCCACCATACCTGGTTTCATTTTTGTATTTTGAGACAGTCTCTTTTTTTAATTTTTATATATTATTTTTATTTTATGTGTATGCATGTATTGCCTGCATGTAGGTAAGTGCACCCATGTCGTGCAATGCCCATGGAGGTCAGAAGAGGCTGTCGGATCCCCTGGAACTGGAGTTAGGGACAGTTGTTAGCTGCCATGTGGGTGCTGGGATTCAAACCCGGGTCTTCTGCAAGAACAGCCAGTGTTCTTAACCACTGAGCCATCTCTCCAGCCCCTTGAGACAGCCTCTTTATGTTGCTCAGGCTGATCTTAAATTTCTAGGCTCAAAACAATCTTTCTGGGTTTACAGCAACACACTACCAAGCCTGCCTACTTTAATATTTCTAAGTACATTCTTTGTTTAAAATGAGCTCTTTTCTATATATTAGGGACACTCATATGTTAAGTTGGTTTTTTAGTTAATGCTGCCATTGTTAATATTAGTGAATACATTCAGTTACCAATAACATATATTACTGAACCAGGGTTACATATAATCTGTGGCTCTTTGTCATCCAAGTATCTCTTCTACCTCTTCGTCTGTTCTCTCCTAATTAACTCTAAGTCAAAGACTGCGACTGCTTTTAGTGATTCTTTAGCTAGTGTGAGCTTAGGGAATGCACACTAATTTTAATGTTAGCTCAACTAGGCCATAAGGTTGATAATATGATTGTAGGAATATAATTTCATGTAATGCATTCCAAAGACAAATGAGTTCTTGGAACATAATTTTTAAAATATTTTATTTATTTTATGTGTATGTGTTTGAATGTATTGCTTGCATGTGGGTAGGTGCACCTGTGTCATGCAATGCCTGTGGAAGTCAGAAGAGAGCATTGGATCTCCTGGAACTGGAGTTCTAGACAGTTGTTAGCCACCATGTGGGTGCTGGGAATTGAACCCGGATCCTCTCCTAGAGTTGTCAGTGTTCTTAACTGCCGAACCATCTCTCCAGCCCCGGAACATAATTTTTAAAAATATCTATGCAATTGCTTCTAAGATTGTAGGGTTGGGAATAAGAAATCTGAGCCCTAACTTCAGCTCTAACATAAACCAGCTATTTAATCTTTGTTAATTCATATCATCTTTCTGGGCTTTACTCTTGTCTTTTCTTTCTTTGTTTTAAATGTTTTTATTTTAATTTTGTGTGTATGCCTGTATTGCCTGCATGTATGTAAGTGCACCCGAGTCATGTAATGCCCATGGAGGACAGAAGAGGTCGTTGGATCCCCTGGAACTGGAGTTATAGACAGTTGTTTGCTGCCATGTGTGCTCTGGGATTCGAACCTGGGTCTTTTGCAAGAACAGTTAGTGTTCTTAACCGCTGAGTCATTTCTCCAGCCCTCACTTTTGTCTTTTCAATCATAATATGTTAGAAAAGTCCAAGATCTTTTCAACTTGATCCTGTAGGAATCTAAGTAGGGATGGTAATCAAAATATTTACTAACAACAACAACAAAAAGATATTTACTAACTAGGCTAGGGATGTTGATTGGTGTAGAGTGCTTATGTAAGATGGGGTTTGGGGTTCATACTCCAGGACCATAAAAAGCAACAAGATAATCCCCAAACATTTAAAAATCTATATAGGGTACTGTAAGTATCATAAACATAAAACTTTAAAACCATTGTTTTATTTAAATACTCCATATTCTTGTGAAGTGATGAATTGTAGTATAAATGATTCATCAAACCACTGTAATGTTTTCCACCTCGGCCTTTGATACTCTGTCCCCTTTTAGTCTCCACCTTCCCTCCTTATCCCCTCTCCCTGGCAGTAGCTGGAAATTTGCTGATCCTAGTTGCCAAAACCCAATGCCTCTGTCTTTGCCTCACTCCCCCAAGGCTATGTAAAAAATGGGATTTCAGCAGACCCATCAAGACACCACTGGGGCCAACCAGTGAAGCAGCAGTTGGTTGGAGTGGTTACCATAGAGAAAAAGAAAAGTAGAGAAGTTGGGGGACTGTGGGTTAGATAGGGGAAAGGTTTTTTTTTCTCTCTGAAACTTCATCTGCTAATGCTTGTAAAGGAGATGATTATGGCATCCTTGTTCAAAGCAGACCTGGCCCCACACCTGTTGCCATGATCAAGGCAACTTGAGAGCCCACTGTCTTAAGGGTATTAAAATTAAAATAGGGCCTGGAGAGATGGCCCAGTGGTTAAGACCACTTACTGTTCTTACAGAGGAACCAGGTTTTGTTCCCAGCACCCACATAGTGGCTTACAATTACCTGTAACTCCAGTTCCAGGGGATCTGCTGCCTATTCCTGGCCTCCATGGGCTCCTGCACACACAGGCACACACACACATAAAAATAATAAATTTTAAAAAAATCTAAAATGTAGTAGGCTCTTTAAAAGGTAATGCTGTTCGGTTTCCACATGCAGTATTTTCTTCTGACTTTCTTTTATGTAATGATATTATAATGAAAATTGTAATGTTTTAAAAATTGCTAATGCATTTGGATTTCCCAAATGTTTTTAGGTTCAGGCAACAGTGGTTGGTTTTCTAGCAGCAGTGGCAGCAATTATATTGGGCTGGATTCCGGAAGGGAAGTATTACCTCAGTCATTCTGTGCTCTTGTGCTCCAGCAGCGTGGCCACCGCCTTCATTGCGTCTCTTCTGCAGGGTGAGTGGGTTTGTAAATGTGTACTTGGCAGTTTTTGACTTTTAAATTATTTGTTTCCCAAGATGATGAGACTGTCACCTTGGCCTTAGATGCTATGGTAGTTTCAAAATAAGACCAGGAAAACCTGAGACACTTGCTTGTTTCAATGAGTTGAGAAACGTCTTTCTGAAAATCATGCAGGGGAGACTGACTGGCTTGTCACTTGAGTAGCAAGTGTTCCAGGAATTCTGAGTTTCAAGGCAATTGCTCTTTAAAAATTACAGTGTGACAGTGTAGGTATAACCTTGTGCTTAAGGTAGCACATTCTTGGCTATAGTATGTCTAAAAATCTGAAGTTAAAAAAATCAACTGCATTAGAATTTATTGGATTATTTTTCTTCATATTTATTAATATGAGAGCTATACTAGATACCTAGCATATTACCGAATATAATCATTGAGGCTCAATTCTTACTGCATTTTTTTGGTCTTTTTTGAGACAGGGTCTCCCTGTAGCCCCAGCTGGCCTGGATTCGCTATGGAGACCAGGCTGGCCTCGAACTCACAGAGATGTGCCTGCCTCTGCCTCCTGGGTGCCAGGACTAAAGGCGTGTGCCACCACACCTGGCTACATTTTAAAATGAAAGAATTACTTTTCGGGGGCTGGAGAGATGGCTCAGCAGCTAAGAGCATTGGCTGCTCATGCGGAGGACCTGGGTTTGATTCCCAGCACCCACATGGCAGCTAACAACTGTCCATAACTTCAGTTCCAGGGGATCCAATGCCCTCATCTGACCTCTGAAGGCATTGCATGACACAGTTGCACCTACCTACATGTAGGAAGTACACTCATACACATAAAATAAAATTATTTTTTTGTTTTGGGGTGTGTGTGTGTGTGCGCGTGCGCTAGCCACACTGTACATATGGAGATCAGAGGACAACTTGTGGGAGTTGGTTCTCTCTTTCCACTACATTGGTCCTAGGTATTGAGCTCTGATTCTCAGACTTCTTGGCAAGTGCCTTTAACCCATTTTACTCCTGCCCAGCTCTTACTACTTTACAGTAGACATCTTCTCACCCCCTTATCACCACTTATGTTAACAAAGAGAGTCATGTCAGGTAATCATGCTGTGTAGCTAAAGTTATGTGAATTGAGAGACTTCCAAAATATTTTCAAGCATTTATTTTAGTGCTTACATAATATCAAGAGGTAGTTTCTTGTCTTTCTGTGGTATTATTGACTACAGCAAGATGTTAAAGTGTTAGAAAATTAAATTTCTGTTAAAAATTGTTATTAGGGTCAGCATCCTCTTACTTTAAAGGTCATTTGTTTCTGATTTTGTTTCATTCAGAAAGTGTTACTTAAAGTATTTCAGTATATCAGGCTGGAGAGATGGCTCAGCAGTTAAGAACACTGGTTGTTCTTGCAGAAGACCTGGGTTCGAATCCTAGCACCCACATGGCAGCTAACAACTGTCTGTAACTCCAGTTCCAGGGGATCTGACAGCCTCTT